CGGTTAAAATACTCTGTCGGTACCACTCTATATTGTACTCTCCATCCTAACCCCTTTCACCTGCTTGTCGTCATGCTCAGAGCCGCTCCTATATTTCCAGCCTTTCTCTCACTCACTCTATCACATATAGCCTCACTTTACAAAATTATTGACCCGTTAAATTTCCAATAAAAGAAAAAAAAAATTTGTATATTATCGATTAATGATTTGACGAATCCAATGTATTTTTCTTGATATCACAGTCGAAAAATTTCCTACAAAATCATGAAAATGATAAATTTCAACTGTCGTCTACAATGCATGCCTACGTGTGTGGGTATAGGCACCGAGTGGTATATATTGCATAGTGGGGATTCTCGAGGCAAAGATAACGACAACGTGAATAAAAAAAAAGCCAGGAGGTTCGAGAAACCTCACCCTTAATCGCCACGCTAAATCGGCAGGGATCCTGATGTACGTGGGGGAACGGGTAAAAATGGATGTGTATCTGTTAAACTCCTGCCGAGACGAACTGAGAAAAAAACGCTTTCCACCCTCTTATAATATCCATTTACCCCCTCTTTCCTTTATTGCCATTCAGCCTCACTGTATGACATATCCAAAAGAAGTCTGCTCGATGTATAATCAATATGGTCGGCCTATCGATGGCCAGTCTTTCGACCAGTGAAACTACCAAAAAACACTCACGCGGTGGCATATGTATGACCCACAAGGTAAAAATCTACCGGATTTATTCTTTTATAGTAGTTTGACAGTTAAATTAATAAATATTTAACACGGACACAAATCATTAGCAAGAGTGACAATTAAATATGAGACGAGAGCTAGTGATGAGCGAGTGAATGGATCGGCGTATCATGCGGCGTATCATGCAATTGTATAATTATCCAACTGGCCCTGTTAGCGCCCCCTCGACTCAATTGAAAGACAAGTCCTTGGGTGGCATTGTACCAATCCTCTGCTAGATCAGGGATCCGAAATGCAACGAATGTGGTGGGTAAAAGCCTCCGGATTAGGCAGACGGGATAATCGAACGTAGTCGGCAGCCATAGAGAGAGAGAGAGAGAGAGAGGAGTAAGTTGAAAAGTTATCGCTTTGGGATGGGGCGTTGTGCTACCAAAAGGGGTCGATACGTATCACGATTTGCCACGCGGTTCGACTATATCTTGGGCCAATCTTGGCTTGTTCTATGGTCTGCATGAGCCCCACGAAACGGCCAGCAGATGTAAAATCTTTGCTTTACAGTGTCTTGGATATTACTGAATTCTATAGGATCTATTTTGTTCAACAACTAAATCACGATGAAATGTTGAAACAAAAATAATGGTGTATAATATTTTATTTGTCATTCATTCCGCACACCCAAAATACAGAAGGCAAAGAATACGCAAGTCTATTTTTGTTGGGCGGCAACGGTGGCGGGACAAAAAGCCTGCGGCTTTCATTCTCCTTTTTGCCATTATTCCTCCGCGGCTGTACCTTTTGGACTGGGCATATACACTTCACTAGTGTAGAACCGTATGTTGGCATATACACAATCATTCTTTTTTTCTTCTTTCTCTTTTTCACCTTGCTCGGGTCGTCCGCGCCTCTTTTAACATTAAACCGACGATGAGCCGCCCTTGCTGATTTTATCTCACTCTTTACCGTGTGATTCTACACCTCTCATTGACAAAGTGCGCAACCAATGCTGCGCATGTAAGTTGAAGAAAAAAACAGCCAAGAAGAGGAAAAAAAATGAAACCGAGCCAAGTAAATGGGGTAGAGGTGGACGATGGTTAACGAAGGGAAGGTGAGAGAGAAAGATATAATAGGAGCGTTTTAGGTGGGTTGGTAAAGTTCCCTCGCTATACTAATTGCCGCTGGCCGCTCCTGACTACGGGCCGGTGAACATCAGCCACCCTGCACCCAAGAGGCGCTCCCCCTTTTTTCCCCCTTTTTTCCCCCTTTTTTCCCCCTTTGCCAACCCATGGCTCTATGTAATCCTCGTTGTGCAATTATAACCCGTCACCTAAAACCCATGGTCCCACTCGAAGAGAGCACTGACTCTACTTTTTTCTTCTATTAAAAAGAAAAATTAACTCGAAAAAGCCAAGAAATAAATGAATTTACTGATTATTTTTCTCACTCTCATGTCACTACTTGTAACATTTATTATCACCAATGGCATATAAAAATATATATTGGTAATAATCGCCTTTCATCTGTAGGAGAATGAGTGTTAATTCAATTGTATAATGTATAAAGGGGAATTTAGTGTGTGCACGTATGCTGTCCAGTGGAATTCGATGCTTCACCACACAGTGGATATATAGCTTCCTACTCTGAGTTAATTAGCAACGGCGCGAGTTAGTGTTGACCGAGACGCGTCGAGGAGAAGGTGTAGGAGGGGGTAAGTGGTTATCGTGGCTTATCGAATAGCTGTGAATCGAGAGACATTCAAAGCTGACCGAACCATTGTCATATCAAAGTACGACATGACTAATTGCTTTTTACTCTATCCTCAAATAAAAGCGCGTTCGAGGCGTGCAAAAAAATAAATCGACCCTCCTGGCATTTTATATCCCTTCTTGGTTTTTCATCCCTCTGTCCCCCTCTACACCGAGGCTCGGAGTATGCTGCAGGCTATGTGAAGTGCCAGTATATATATATATATATATATATATATATATATAAAGGTGGGTATGGTGCGTGACTCAGGCCGGATTGAGAGAGACACGACGTGTGCAACCAAAGCGGAATACCACCCTCGTTGTGTCCCCCGTGTTGTGTAGTGCTGAGCCCGCGCTCGTCTCTTCACCTCGTGCTATACGTGATGCCGCTGGCCCCAATAGCCTTCGCCCCTTTCCTCTTTCACCCTTCCACACCCATCCCAATCGTGCTGACATGACTGTGTATGTGTGTGGCTACACTGCCACTAGCGTGGCAATGTGTAGTTTCATCATCGACAAAGCCCATGCGATAATCATCGAGCGCTAGCCCGTGACTGTCGGGGCAGGGGTCCAAAGGGGGTATATGTACCGTTAACGTTTGCGTTGGTGTGCTATGTGCTATGAGCTATGAGCTTGGGGGTTGCCAGGCCATTAGCGTGTGTCACCCGATGCTATTTCATTTTCATCCTTTCTTTAGGAAATTTTTATTACACCAAAAAAAAAAAAAATCATTGACTTGTGCGAAAGAGCTACCCTTGAATTAAGAATCACTCTGTGAATTTTGCAAATGAAAAAAAAAGTCTCTGTCTCTAGGTACTTCTCCTGTTGCATTCACGGTTAAAAATGTTCAATAGGATATTGGGACTTGGGTAATACCCAACTCACAATTCTCTCTTATTTCAAATTTTATCAATTGAAGCCAAGTCCGCTACAGTGATCAGTCGATTTAAAAAATAAACGAGAGAGGAGAGTGTATTGTACCCATTGGCAAAAAATGCAAATTACTTCACTACTTTGCCTCACTATCGAAAACCAACTCCCGTTTGATATCCATCGATAGAAATGAATGAAAAAGAGTACAAGGAAGAATAATAAATTTTTTAGTGTCCGAAAACCAGCGAAACCACAGGCAGCTTTCTTTCCTTGAGGATGAAAATTTGAGGACCGAAAAGAGTATTTGGTGTAACTATGATATGAAATAGGCGCTATCGACGTAGTCTGTGTTTATTCCCCACAATATATGTAGGTAAATAAAATAAAGCATGTACACTTGGTACCGGGACCTTTAACGCGACAACCGGGGTGTTGTGTAGTGATGAGAGTGGGAGGAGGGGAGAAGGGAGAGAAACTCGGGTTGGTGTGTGGTAGAACGTAGACGGAGCAAGAGAGTGAAGAACGATCAATGACAAGCACTCGACATCTCTGTCGGTGGCATACTGTGTAATACCCCTGCGGTTGTGAGCCTCTCATGACTCTATCTCACTCTGGTATTCATAAAATCTCTCATCTTCATCCTGCTCACTCGCAACCCTCGTTTCCTCCTCCTCCTCCTCCACCTATTCCTAGCAACGTATTTCGCTTTCTGGTGTGGTTCACGCGCGCGCACACCCGTTCAAGCTCTCCCTCTCAATCAAGATAGACGTGCGAGAGGCTTAACACCACCGTAGAGTCGAACACAGGCGGCAAAAGTACCACGCCGATGGGTATTACAGTGCGCAAAAGAGAGAGGGTAAGAGACGTGGATGGAATATGCAAGGTGAAGCGAAACGACTGGCAAATACTTCTCTGGTAGGAGGCAAGGATGCGCGGCGCCATTGCCAGGGATGAGGATAGAGCATCAGGAAAGGGTGAGAGATAAGAGCTGAGAGAGTGAGATGAATATAGCGGCACCAGCCCGTTCGTGCCGCTGCTTCGGAAAGTGACTAATGACTAGCCGACTGGACTCTTCTCGCCGGTCTCGTGATAGGGCGAGGAGGGGCACGGGCTTTTCGGATGGCTGCAAGATGCCGAGAAATACTTTATTATCACACAAATATCAGACAATTTTTTCCCTTCCACGCTTTTATCCATTTATTTTTATTTTTCTTGTTAAGAGGTGGAGGTGAAATATTTTAATGAAGCCTCACAACTTTTCATCGCATTTTCCCCCCTCAATATTCATTGAAAACAAATATTTTTTCAGTTTCGCTAATTGTACGATGTATAGTGGTGGATTGAATTCTGTCAACTATAGGCGTATAGAGATGCCATTTCACATTTTTACTTTTGACTGCGGTGCCTTGTGAATGCCTTTTGAATGCCTTGCCTCTTGTATTTATGATTAGGCGTAATTAAACAACCACCACGTTCGTCGAGGTGAGTACTATTAGCACGTGAAATATCTTTCGCTCTGCCTATTTATTTTTTAAAACCATCGAGTTCCCTTGTGGCGAAACCCCCTGAATTTTGGATTGCAAACGCCCAGACACGTTTCTCTCATCCTCATTTCTATTTATCTTTTTTTTGTTATGTTTTTTTTTTTTTTTCCTCTTAGGGACTTGATAAAATATGAAAACTACAAATACTCACCTTATTGTGAGGTAATTGAGTTGGTATGTAGAGAGGTGGATCTAATCCGGGGCTGGTGACGGCATGACGACCGATTATCCTGTCCGCCGGTTTTGCGTCATATCCCTCCGGCTGACCAATATGAAAACCTTTACTCTTCACCCAAAACCTGAACTTACTATTCTCAGCGCTATTAACTTCTTCACCCCTCAGTGTCCTCAATATTCTGGCATATTTTTTAATGGTAATTGTCTTTGTTTTAGCCAAATCACCATATGTTTTTATGACCCACGGCTGATAGGTATTGAACATTGTGTCATTGTGAAACTTTAATGAAAGTACTGATGAAACTTTAGCATCTGCATTTGTTTGGGATGGTTTAGTAGTGGTATATGGTAGAGTAGTTGGCACAAGCCCCGAAAATGCTAGCGAGACAGATGCTTTGCCGTCAATGGTTGGATTTTTACAATTGCCATATGCAGCATTGATACTGGGATTAGCAGAAGTAGCGCCAAGTGAGCCACTTGTCATGTTTGAAATATCCAAGTACGACACTGATGAGTTTTTATTGAGGTTCGTAGCGGTACCAACAAACGTGGCCATAGAAGTTGCCATGTAAGGAATCGGCGTGGCCATGGTAAGGCTTGAAGAGCATAAACTTGTCTGTGTATTTTGGACAAGGCTTGATATCGATCCATACGCGATGGATGCATCTGGTATACTACTCGTCACTGACCACGGCGCAGGTGATGTTAGAACACTGAAGCCACTAATGTCCTGCTCTGTACACTGCACTGGCACATTGGTAATAGTTGATACTGTTGCTGCTACTGGTACTGTCGTTGAGACTGAGACTGAAACGGGTACTGTACCTGATGCACACATGGGACTCTTTACCCTAGACTTTGATGATCCTCGACCTCTTGACACTTGTCCTGTTTCTTGTGTTGTTATCCCCGTACATGTATTACTACGAATACTGTTTGATACACCACGCGATTTCTTAGCTGGCATCGATGCTATTTCATCCCGATTGTTCAATGAATTCAAATTACCATGAGACGGATTGTTGTTGTTTTCCGATCGTGATCGTTTAGAAGTTGTAGGCGGTAACGGAGCTGAGGAATTCGCTGGGACACGGCGTCGTAAACCCATGACACTCGTCATTGTACTGCACTTTCCTTTTTTTACTGTTTTATCATCAAAAGCTGCTTATGCTCATTGCTCTAATTACTTTGATCGACAAGTTTACACTTCTATGTTTCTAACACTGTTATCCATAGTTGGTGATCCAGTCTTCTGAAACACAAGATATAACAAATATTAAAGTATACGTAGTCAAGGTGAAAATTAGATTAGAAAAAAAAAAAAACAAAAACAAAAACAAAAAAATTGCTGGCAAAATTTTTACCATGCCATTATGAAAACCGAAAAGGTTCAAATAAGGGAGGAAGAAGAACGAGCGTGGCTAATGGACTGCCCCCGTCCACTTGCATGCGTCAGAAGTGTGCGGAGGGTTCTGATGGTTTTATAGAAAACAAGAAAAGGGGAGAAGGACTCTTGTGGTCCCGCTTGAATGCGTATATGTCTACAACCATGAGGTATATACAGTCGATCAAATAGGGAGACTACAGATTATAAACCCGAGAGGGATATAATATGGTGAATTAAACCGTGCTAATTGGCTTTGACTTTACCGAATGACTTGAACAGGGAAAAAGGGGATGGCTATATGGAAAAAATTGTGTTTATCCCAATGCTCGTATAGGTGGAAAATTTCCCGAGCCAAGTAACTACATCGAGACTCTCGCCTTTTCCGACCCCTTTTCTCACTTGTACTCCTGTTTTAACGGCTCCCAAACGGAACGACGGGAAATTTCTCGGTCGTTATACTGGAATGACGCTGCTGGCTCCATGAGCCTCGAGTGTAAAGAAAAGGATGGACTAAAGTCAAAGTTTAACGAGCGCCCTGTGGCGGTTAAAAATTTTGCTTCGTTAAGAACCCTGAACCACTCTTTGCTGGGTGTCGAGGTGAGAAAGACACCACCTCTTATCCCATGGAAAAGTAGTATCTCTGGGTTTATTCGCTAAATTGGGAGAGTGGTTCGTTGATACTATCGCTATAACAGCTCTTCCAGGGAATTGACCAATTGTCGAAATATCAGCCCCACATCAGATGTCCCACGGAAATACTCATCTTTCAATGTCGGAATACCAATTTCATGAAAATTAACATTTTTCTTTGAGACTTTTCGTTGAGGCTTTGATGACTAATGGATCTATCTTCGTAATTAAACCCCTCCCATCACTTCTCTCAGTTCAATCACTGTATAGTATACATGGGAAACTCGTGATTGCAATATGTAATTAAGCTCACGTCAACCGCTACTGTATTACCACATACCGTTGCCCACCCAAGCTCCAAATATTTTTCCCATTCCATCTGCTCTTGCTATCCTCAACTTGGAATCACGATGTCACGTCAAATCTTTTCATCTTAACTTTATTTTCACGATAATTTGCTAACGGCGGCAACGTCAACGGTAACGGCAACGGCACTGCCGACAGAGAGTCAAAATATTTAATGAACCAATCAACAATTGCAAGTAAATGAAAAAATTCTAACAATGAACAAGAATTGATAAAGATAACATGCAATCTGCAACACATACTGATTGCATTTAGAAGAATTGGATAAAAAGGGATGGAAAACATAACCCAGCGATCCACGGACTGGCAGTAAATTGAATTCCCAAACGGGCGGGTGGTATAAGAGAGTGAGAGGCGTCCCGTGTCGGGTAACCAGAACCGTCGAGCTAACACCATCTCGCACACGTCGCACTATCCCGTCTGCTCATCCACTGCGTTTTCCACGTATTTTCGAATATCCAAACGATATATATCACCACCCATTACCAATTCTCAACAAAATCATTCGCTATTGGCTACGTGTGCAATACCCACTCCTCTCCTATTATTCTCTGATCTATATGCACACGCACAAACTTTATCGTTTCCAATGCTTTGACGTACTATTTTTATCCTTTTGATATTCTAATCGTTTCTTTCAATCAACTTGGATTTATTAGTTTCACTAGGATTTCAATGTGTACGCCGAATTATATGCTCAGTTCACTCGTTTTTACATTTTTTTTTAAATTTCTCGCTAAAAATGTAAATCACTTAACTATTGATTTTTGCGGATACATATCAGTGTACACTGTACAGTGTACAGCCTATTGTCATCAAACTCAGTGATAAAGTTAATCTGACTGCAAGGAAAATGCCAAATTCATCTAAATTTTTATTTGATTTTGTCATTGTGGCATATTGAAGACAAATACGAAAGTTGTGAAATCCAAGGCAAAGTTCTTACATCTGGAGATAGTTGAGGGCAGAAACCACTAAACCATCCATGGAAAAAAAAAAAGATTATCAGCACTAAACGGTGTAAAGAGCAAGCTCAGGCAATAGATTGATATATCACCTGTCGTTGATCCGTGAATAGTTTCACTGAGTTAAACAGTTCCATTGCTATCACAACACTCAATAAGATTGATCTTCACTGGTAACCGGTAATGGGTATTTACATTTGACAATATGCTAATATAAGTCTTGGTAGAGTATGGGATGGTGGTGTGTGGTACGGTACGGTGAGAAAACCAGTAGCACTCGTTTGACTGTCGGTGGTCGAGCGGTATCTCACCCACAAAAAGCGTCCCGCCATCAGGTGACGCAGAGGGAAGAATTAAAAAGTTTCCCCCCACCTGACGAGTGTTTGTGTCACGGATACAGTGAAACAGTAGGAGAGAAAATACGAGTTGAAATGGTGAGACTGGGGGGGCCAAGAGCCAATGGATGGCCGGTTGAGTGATGGATAAAAGTAATGTGTGTGAGCGTACACGGAAACAAGGCGCGAGGGAGAGAGTTGGGTTTGGGTAAGAGAGGACTGCCGCCGAGTGTTATAACCTTCCCCCAGTGGCCGGTGCCCGGTGCCCGGTACCCGGTACCCTGACACTAGCGCGTGCTCAGCGCGTAAGCGAGAGCTCAAACGGCACTGACTCTCCATCCTCCACTGGTGCACGTCGCTGCTCGCCACCAAGAGTGAGACGGGAATTGTTTCATTGGCTGGGAGAAGGAGATGAGGCGACGGCCGGAAGGGGGCAGAGTGTGTTACCATAGGCGGGTGCGCTAGTCGTTACGGGCACCGAGTGACTGGGAGAGAGTTGGCAAATGTCAGTTGAAGGAGGGGGGATTGGAGAATTGCCAATATACATACATTTCAGTGTCACCACTAATCATGTGTAAAACATCGTGATTTCTTTTTCTTTTTTCATTATTATTATTCCTTTTTTTCTTCTCATTATCAATGCTGATTGAGATTATTCTAAACATTAATCGAACTCTGAAGCGACAAGAAAATTAATCGCTTCTCATTTTTAATTTATCAATTTTTCCAATTTATAAACATCAATGGCTTAACAATATAAACCAGAGGTGGGCAACCTCAGGTAGGCTCGGAGCTGTAACCATAAAATTATTAAGGTTCCAATTGTAACGGACCTAACGTGATTACAAGGGTTGTCGTATATTTGTGTGGTAGAGTACCATCAAGCGATAGCGCACGCGCGTGATTGAAATGTGAGGGCAAAATGGTTTGAATTTTTATGCACGTGTTTGGACATTTTCTGTTTCATAAAAAAAAAAAATGGAATTAAAAGATGATGATTTAGATTCAATATTCATAAGTGTAAATGAATGTGGAATGCTCATGAACTTGAGAAAGTAATATTTCATCGTCAATTAAAGATTGTGAGAAATTTGTTCATTAAAATTTGGCATCGAGAGTGGCAAATATAGAAATGAAAAATTTGAAAGTGTATGTCAATTCAGGTCTATTAACAACATGGTAATATTTAATAATTGTTTCCCAAACAATATTTCAATTATAATTTCAAAATTACTTCAAGAAATCTATGAAAGGTACGAAGTCCTCTTTTATAAAGATGAATAAAAATAACCAATAACCAATCAGAAGGATAATAACAAAAAAAAACAATAATTGAAAAAATATTTCCATTAGAGAGATAGAAAATTTTTCTATTTCACTTTTACTACCACCAAGTTTCTGCCGAATATCCCCACTACTCTCGCCTACGTGCAGGGCATCATGGGCCCGAAGGGGGTCCAGCCATAAACTTTATGGCTTGGGACAATTTTGCCTAATGGAGGTTGGGAGCTGGAGTAGCTCCAAGAGCTCCAGGTTGCCCACCAGTTTATATTATAAACTAACTACCGAAGAAAAATTTCAACCACTTATCTATAAAGGCCGTAAACAATTTAACAATCACATTTACTGAATCAAAATGCTAAGTCTCCAAAATTATCATACATACATCCGGATTATTAGTGGAGCCCTTTCCCAAAAGTATAAAAAAAATAGAGAGTGAGATGAATGGAAGAAAAAAAAATTATATGTACTGATTCGACTGGATGATAATTCGTTATTTGTAGAGAGAGAAATAGTTGTAAACGTAACGGCGTGCGGTGGGACACTGACTGAGAGGATGGGCAGACGGACGCAGGCTGAAACTGCTTTCTGTACGTATATAGCGGGTGGGTAGGCGACGGTGGGATCCACCACTACTAGTACAACTGAAAAAGGAGGGGGTGGCAGCGAACGGGACGGCCCGATGAGAGAGAGTTCGCTGACGGGACCCCCAAAGCGCCCAAAGCACATAGGGAGAATCGAGGATCTATGTGTGCACGCGTGTGCGCCAGCGCGCTCACCTACATATACAGTCAAGTACTGGGGTTGCACGTGTGTAGGTATTGGCCTACGCCAATGAACCCTCTCCCCCCGCCGGGACAGGCCCGAGTTGAGCCGAGGGCGGAACTCGGTCTCGCTCGGTCGATCATACCACCCTCTCTTACTCATACATGCAAAATTTTTTCATTACACATAGTTATAAGCTATTTTCTTTCCTCCTCAAATGAACTTGCTTTTCTCTTGGTGCTGCCAATGTGGTTCGTTCTCTCCCTCTCTAAATTTTCATCTTTTTATCTCGTAGTACTATATTTTGTTTGGTCTTTGCGTCCACTCTTGCATGAATCTCCTCTTCCATTTCACCACCATCAGGCAATACTATTTTATTTTTCATTTGTCTTCCTCTTTTTCCTTCTAATATTTACGCTTCTTATTCTTCTTCATCATCTTCTTCTTCTTCTTCTTTTTCTTGTCAAACGTCAACACTACTTCCCTTACACACCCCTCCCCCCAACACCCCCAACGCTGACTCCTGTTTTTCTTCGTTTTTCGCGGTCAGGCTGACAATTTTCTGTACCATGATTATTTTGACGCTTGTCCATACACAGTGTATATACTGTACATCCCTCCATTCATATTTCTCACAAGTTTTTTTTAATTTATGAATATTCCTTTACAATGCAAAAAAATAAATAAATAAAAAGGTTCCAATTCAATCGGAACCAAATTAAAAATGTTATCGAATTTTTTCACTTTTCAAGATAGATCTTCAGGGCAGAAAATACACTTTTTAAAATTTATTTTAAATGATGAAATTATTATACTACCAATAAAATTAGTAGGAATGAAAAAAAAGAAGAAAAAAAATATCCAGAGAATAGTTTACATATGTCAACCAGCATATAGCTTCGATCACACTGCCTGTTATTTATTTATTTATTTATTTTTTTATTCGATTTTCATTGTATTCTGACGATGGAGAATCGACATGGGACTTTGACGAATAGACTTGTATCACGAAATACTTATGAGTTGTGTGGAAATATTTTTTTTCCATTCAACATGAATACTTTACCAGACACACAAAGGTACGTGTTGATATATGTACCTCAGATATCAGAAAATATATTGAAAATGAAATGAAGGTCCGTGTCGCTTCGATAGATAAAGAAATTCATCTGTTTCGACAACGGCGATAAATGGGATGGAAGAAAAAACATACTATATACATCATGTCATGTATTTGGTTCAATTTTTTTGTTTCTTTATGCTTCCGAGACTATGTCCTTTGCTTCGCAATCATTTGCCATTTATTGTGTTACTCACTCAAAAATATCAATTGAAAATGTTGAAAATTTTTGTCTTTTCCTTCTCTATATGCCTCAACTCCCCTCAAATCGTAGAATTGGCAACCACTTGATGGCCTGTATATAATATAACTGCAGGCCAGGTCTGACAATCAACGATGTCGAGCATTTATCTGGTATTTGACGGAGCCAAAGTGGTAATGGGCTACCAACGTGGTTTCAAAGAGAAAACGCACTTGGGCTTAGTTTCTAGATATCGATCGTCCTAGCATTCAACAATTTGAGGCTGCATGGAACAAAACTGACTTTTTTAGTGGCCTAGGGTGAAGTCTTGGAGGGATAAATGTTTTTTTCAAGCGTGGGGCATTTGTAGTTTCAGCTTATACTAACCATGCGAATGGGGACGTGTCTCATGAATACAACTTTCAATGGCTTCAACATCATTTAATTATGAATTGAGAGTTACCAATGAATGACTAGTTTTGGCTTTGGCCAATAATATCACATATCCATAGATAAATAAACACTTCTGATTATAATAAATAAAAAAATATTTCTCACCTCAAAAAATTCTTCATTTCCCGTTCAATTGAAATTATCATAATCGTTGAAAATTTTTTGATTCGTTTAATTGCATTATCCTCATTCACTAAGCGTTCAATACTTTTTGTTCTTTTCATTTATCACCACATGAAGAAAACTGGGCCAAAGTACGAATAGCCACTCACACACCCACTCGTTAACAGGATTGCTGGCTTAAAACCTGAAACACTAGAAAGCTACGACAGTTCATGACACGGAGAGGGGTTGGTCTCATACTGCACGTTAGCTACATAAGATACGTGAGTTCTGCTCTGTGTCCTTGTCACGTAAAATCCTACTTCCACTATCAACCTAGAGAAGAGTTCACACATAAAGAGCATCTAGCTACCAACGCCCACCCTACGAAATTGTCAGAGTGGGTAGCCGCCAGTACTCTTCCACCGGGGTTTCGCTGAGAATGGGAGAAACAAAAAGAGACTTCAGGATAAAAATTTTCCGTTATCCTCTCCTCCTTTTATATACCACAGAAATGTTTCTTTTCTTACGCTTCTTATTCTTTTTTTCACATTGGCCTAACTAAAATGGGATTTTTTTTTTTTCAACTAGCTGGTTAAATTTATCAACATTTATTCAGCATCACTATTAATAATAATTATCCAATTAATAATATATATATACGTAGGTAATTGGCCGAACAACCAGATTATGTCTTAGAATCAATTTTTCGTTTTTTCATCTTGCTGAAACTCCAAGTTTAGCATATAGAATACTAAAAATTGACTGAAAAACAGCTTCTGATAAAGGGATTATATCCAATTTGTTGAGATTCTCGAGAAAATGTTGCAGAAATTTCACGTTAAAATCATGTATTTTTCAGTCGACCTCCGGGATGTTTCACCCACTCCCGTGAAATTCTTTAATCTCTCGTCCAGTCACAAGCGTACCTCGCGAATTAAGTTATATTAAAGTCGCTCAAAGAAAATAGTATTAAACTCTATTCTGTTGAATCCAATCCCGTGAATAATCTACAATTGTCAATTATTCTGCAAATATGAGAAAAGCCAATTAATATGCAAAATTATAGAAACCCCGGCGCATAGAAACTGAAAGAATTAGTAGTTATGCAAAGATCATTCGAATTTCATCTGTTCTAAGAGGATAAAAATAAAACAAATGAAATTGACAAATAAGACATGGGTCAAATGGGCGTAAATTCACTGCACATCACACAACACTATTCACTATAATTGAACAAATGAATATAAATAATTGACATAATGATGGATTTTTCAATCAACGAAAGATACGAAAGAGATAATAATATTATATAATAGAAAAAATATCTAATATAAGTTTTGAAGTGTCTGTTTTCTCATCAACAAGAGCAAGGAGACTGGCGACTATTTGCTAAAAAAAAAATATATTTCCTCCACAAGGGCAGCTATCCCCACCAGATAAATATAGATAACTCAACAATTGTGGACCAGTTTTTCGGATTTTTGATTCTCACGGGGACGGGATACAAGTGTAAACGGTGAACAATAATTTACCAGAGGGGGAATAATAATCACAAAACTGCTGGGATGCTGTGATACTCACCGACATTGAGAAAACATGGACAACGGTCAAGCCCGCCTATTCGAAGAGTGTAAAAATAGAAGATCACAGTTGTAGTACACCTGGCATGTGGAATCTCTAGAGGAATCGAGATGGAAAGGGGTACAATTCTGGTTTCTCTGATCCAGAGGGATGGTGGTCATCGCGTGAGAAAGGGCTGTCAAATTCGACCTCTCTGCAGAGATACTAAACCGGGTAGTACTCGTATGCCATTGTATTTTCAGCAAGGTGACTAAATTATGGTGGCTCATCTCTCATTTCATTGGCTTCCGCCTTTTTCCAAATCTTTAAAACTAACCACTAAAATGTGACGCTTGTAAGGGTACAGTGCGAAGAAGGAGGATAAAGAGAGGGGTAGAGGGGTAGAGGGGTAGAGGGGGAGAGGGGGAGAGAGTGAGTGAGTGAGTGAATGAGTATGCGAGGGAGGGTGGATTGTGACAAAAGAGCCGAAGAGCTGGGAGCGGCAGGGTGAAAGAGAAATTGAACTGGCAAAAGGGTGGCGGGGAGTACCGTGGCGAGTACATAGGTGAGTACAAGGCGAGTACAAGACGAATACAAGGCCAAGTTGGTATCACCACTCCCCGCTTCTTAGTCTTCTACCATCTCCCCCCCGCCTCCACACACTCTTTGGCTAAATGGTACCCATATATACAGCATATATAGCTGAATAGACATGGAAAGCTTTGGCATCACAAATCGAAAGGGTTGAAAAGTTCAATTGCACGTATTTTCACGTCTCTCGCTAAATCTTATGGATGCTATTCCCCCCACCAGTGAAATTGTGAAAAGTCGAATGGCACTTGAGCGGTTAGGTGAAGACCGTCTGCATTTAACTACCGATTTGACTCACTTCCATCACCTCCCATCACCTCCTTACCCATTCACAATTTATCAATATCTCGTGCTACCTCTTTTTCTTTTATCATTTAATATATAGCCTTGAAGAAAATTTAAAGCTCAGATTGGCAAGTCGATGAGATTTACGCTATCCTTAATTATTCATATTAAACAACTAAGGGATTCTTCAGAACAAATTTATTTTCATATAATTTTGGTTTCCTTCTTGACACACAGTTCTACGCGACTACCTATTATCCATAACTACGTGAACACGTAAAAGCAGAGAACCAGAAATGGTGGAAGCAGTTATTGCAAGGTAAAAGCTCAGGCTCGGTTCATCGACTCTCGTAATTATAATTTCTCGCGTCGGCTCGTTAGTTGGTCTCGTGCACGATTCAGTAAGCGTTTGGCCAAGCTCCGTACAAATATTTTTTTTTTCTTCTTTCAGTTTCAGAAGGAAAAGAAGAAGAGGGCAGGGTAGAAAAAATGTGGAAACGAAAATCCGGGAGAAAATCCAAAAGGAAAAAACAAGTGAAACGTAGAAATGCAATTGGATAAAGAACGGAAAACAATGAATTTCCATTGCAACAATATAAACTATAACTTGGATAATTGTCTTCAAGTCATTATAATGTGGATAAAAGTGTGGAATTGAGTGAGCAACATCCTTCACGGAATATACTAAAGCATGCTTAGCACGTTTTAATAGAGAAGAACGACGGAAATTGGCCAGCAATGTGACCAAAGGAAAGAGTGGCTCTGATCGACCCTTCCGATTACATCGGATGTACCTCCTCCCACCCACTCTATCTTTATTCTCCCCTTCTCTACCTTTTTTCCCCTCCTATACTCTTGAATCAGTATATATAGTAATATTATTTTTTTTTTCTTTCCTTTTTGAAATGCCTGGTATGGCACTGGATAGGCCCTCGACTGGCAGTACCCTTTATAGTTTCCTCTACCTCGCTTCCATGTTCTCCGATAATTTTGACTCTAGCTTTTATTCCTGGGATTGGAATCGAGCGACGTGGAAAACGGTGAACGCCGCCGGGAAAATGTCTATCGCCTCTCGCCATCCCTCCTCTGCTCTACCCCCTTGGGTAGAAGGGAGTATATTGCTCTCGGTGGGTGGGGGCTGGTACAACACCACTACAACTACCACTATCACCACCACAGTTAAAGAGATATAGACTCTCAGCACATATGTATAAAAATCATTCTCTTTTTATTCCATCAGAGTAATTTATTTTAAATGAAGGGGTCTTGATGTGTTACGAATTTTTTTACGTTTCGAAAAAATTTTACAGGCAATATATCACTCTGGACTATGCCGCCCCTTTGTCGTTCATATTTAATGGAAAGCATAATGATGATAGGCTAACTCAAAGTGAGTCATTCACCACCCACAATCAAAAATATCCTTGAAAAATTGCAACGTGTTGCCACTTAACTTGCTAATTAACAATGGTCAAAGATAGATAGACATAGCCTAATTCTTATTTATGGATTAAGTAGTAAGGGCTATTTTAATGTTGCATTCACACTAAATTGGCATAAATCCATTTTCTCTCTCTGTTATTTGACGTGCTAGCTTTGACCTCATGCCGGCGGCAGCGACAGGCATTTATACACAGTGGTAACGTATGCCAGCTAAAGCATGATATAGCTATAAACCAGCAAACGGGATAAACAAGAGCTAGCTAGCTAGCTAGCCCCCCTTCACCCCTTTCCTATTCGGGATTACAGCAAACATATACGCGACATACTCACCCTCTGGTTTGTCGCCAGTTTGGCTGGCTGGTTTCAGTCAATCCCACATGTATCCCATGTACTGTTCTACCAAAAAGGGAGAAGGGGCAGATGGTGGAAAACAAGTGGAGACATGCCGAGGTATTCAGTGTGCCCATCCTAAAATCCATCAGGCTAGATCCCATTCGCCTCAGTCATCATTATAATTAATATGTCATTACGGAAAAATGGTGGGAACAAGAAAATCAATACAATTTTCTATCTCCTTAGGATAGAGGCTCAATTCAGAGCTGTAGATTCATTGATATAGTATAGGTGTTTAAATGTGATATCGAGTAGTGGACATGTTTGCCAGCCACTTGTCTATAGCTTGTCCATCACTTTAGTATGCACTTCAACTATGAGCTAAATCATTGTGAATAGCTTATAGTAAGCCTTACCACCCTACCACCCTCTCGACAACTGTGCAAAATCCAACCGCATCACCTACCACTACCAGTACATACTTATTTGATCATACGATCAATGAACAGTTGAGTTTTGAGAATAAATCAATAATACGAGCATATCATCACATATATCCTCTATTCTGATTTTTATTTATTTCCTCCTCTTTTATTTATTTATTTTTTCACATTATCTGTATTTGTATAACATGAACGCCATCTCGGCGTAAATATTCAAACGGATAAACTACTGTGATAATAAGAGTATCCTATTATCATCACCAGATGTCAATCTCATTCACCCGTACCAATGAAAAGTATAATGAAATTCCCATTTTTCATCAGGAGGTAAGAAAAAATATTATACATCTGTGGCAAATATATTTTCATCACATTTTTCCACTGTTCAGTATTACATCATAACACATCAGTGACCGCTTTAATAAAACGCTTTGGTGGCCGAGGCGGCGCTAGTAAATGTAAAATCAAGTGATTCTTCTATTGCATTCGATGACTTATTGCGGTGATGTGCGTGATGAAAACATTTCGATTTATGGTACTTTGACGGGCCAAAGCGATGATTATTTGGAAACTTATTTGTCAATCTTCTACACCCTTGTTTACATGATCATATTTGATAATCAGCGGATTCATCAAATTATAAATACACAGATGACGGTCAGTGAAAATAAAAAAAATATCATTGGCTATTTTGGAACATCGAGGCTAATGTACTAATCGTTTATATTTAAATCTAAAATACTTAACCCACGATAGGTGGTCACGTCTGTGAGGATTTTCTGCATTCATTATTTTAAACTCTACTACCAATTCATTTGTAGTTCTTTGTACTTGGTACTAAAGCACACAAACAAATCATGCAAAACCATATCGGTTTAAACATTTTATAACATTTTCATTGTAATAATATGTAAGAAGAATGGAGGAAATTTTATTCCGGCTCGGCAGCCAGATCGAGGCTCTACAGGTGAGAGTAAATCATTGATGCTTGCATTGCATCATTTTTCCTTTTGGTTAGTTTTTTTTTTCTTTTTTTTTTCATATCAAAATATATAATTCATGGATATGGCACTGATTGAATTACAGGTTGCGAGCTCAGCAACTGCACAACAAGCCTATCAGTGGTTAATGCCCTGGTTGGCTCCAGGTCAGCAATACCTCCAAAATATTTACAATAATCAGTATGCTCAACAGATCAAGGGGGCAGGATCCTGGATAATAAATTTTTTTAACAGATCGCTGGAACTAATAAAGTTTCAGTTTCGTTGTGCACAAATAAATACTAGGAATTTTTACCAGCATATTGGGATTTTATATTTAAATGATGGTAAATCACTGGATAAATTTGACAGACCCTTCTGTCTATTAAAAATATAAACAATCAGTCAAATAAATTTGCAGTTTCGAGGAGGGACATTGCATTTTGTGCTTTGGGTATAACAATAGGTACTTTAATCGGATATAACATCGGGTTAAATTGGAGACAAACGTCAAAACGTACACAATATATGAAAGCAATTATTTGTCATCATTACGTAGGAATTGAGGTAAATTATTTACAGTGTAGAGTAAAATTCAAAATGATTAAATACAATTAGATATGTTATTTTTTATATGCTAGGGAGTTGCAGTAATTGACGATGCTGAACTTCCAATTATACAACGATCGAACGAGGTTCTAATTCAAGTAAAAGCAGCATCAGTGAATCCAGTGGATGTGAAGATATGTTCTGGTTACTCGAAATATTACCGAAGGATTTTCAATCATGGGGTTAGGTTTATTTTGAAAATTTGTATTTAAAAAAATGTTTAATTTTGCCTTTCATATGGAAAACATTCATATCAGAACGATCTTCCAATTGTCCTGGGTCGTGACTGCTCTGGCGTTGTGATAGATATTGGTCAAGATGTTATGGGTCTTGATATTGGTGACGAGGTTTTTTTGTCTACACCATCGTGGGGAGTTGGCACAATGGCTGAATATATTGTTGTTACCGAAAAACGAGTGGCTAAAAAACCTAAACGAATCACATTTGAGGCATCCGCTAGTTTACCATACGCTGGATGTATCGCTTGGGATTCTCTGGTTAATAAATCACCAGTTGAAGAAGGAAATGCCAAAGGGAAAAGGTAAATGCATCACATATATATTTTAATTATTTACTGATTTTCGCAAATTACTATTTGCCCATTCCATAGATTCTTAGTTTATGGCGGTTCCACGCCAGTTGGATGCATATTAATTCAATTAATTAAACTATGGGGAGGCTATGTTTCTGTAATATGTAGAGCAGATGCTGTAAAAGTAATAAAAGCTCTTGGAGGTGATGACATTATTTCTGTCGAAAATTCTGACATAGAAATGGAACTTGAACTACGTAATAGGTAATTATATGTTTCTCGTTTAAATTACTATTTTATTTCTTCTCTTCTCAGTGCAATATCGAATGAAATTTTTCTCTCCCGTATTCTTCATTAGATATCATGCAGTTTTTCACACAAGCCAAGAGCCAATTGATATTCGTATTTTGAAGAAAAGAGTAATATCGTATGGCTCATTCGTATCCACATTACCCGAGCCACTTATTTCAGATTCCCTTGGTTTTTTCTTAGGGAATCTCTTTGCTGCACATTTACGGGTGAAACTTTTATTTCAAGTATGTCAAATCCATTTTTATTATTTATCTTTATTAATTCACAGACTAATGAATTTATTCATCATTTCAATCATTTATTATTTTATTCTTGGTTAGTATATTTTTGGAATTGATTGTTATCTCTACAATGACGGAGCAAAGATCAAGTCATCAACATTGGAGATAATTCGTGAACTAGTTGATGCTGATAAACTCCAGAGTGTTGTTTGTGCAGCATTTCGTCCAAATTATGCTGAACAAGCCTTGCAACATGTATCAGGATTAAACGCTATTGGCAGTACTATTATCAAGTTCCAATGATACAATGATGATACAAATATCATCATGACACAGCCGAGGAAATAATGTGTTATAAATTGTGCAATGAAAGGACGATTTGTAAGTAGAATCGCGATCTTCCATTTTCGTTGTGTAATCAATTAGTAGAAAGTAAAAATTTTATTGTGCCTAAACCACTAATGTTTTATAAAGTATTTTCAATAATAAAGTGAATTAAATAGACACGTTCAATAGTTTTTTGAATTTATTGAGTAATAGGTCGATGTGACGATATAAATTGTCATTGGATACTGAAATAACTTTCGCTTCCATACTCTGAGATAGAGCTCTATTTTCATTTACGGCCCATTATTAGATAAGTTACGTCTCGTTATTATTATTATTATTATTATTATTATTTCGAATTTGTTGTCTATTTCCTATTCAATGTTGTGTAAGGGAAGAACGATATTTTGAGGAATAAAGAAACAAAAAAAAAAGAAAATATATTATATGGAAAAAGTATATATTTGGAAATAGAAAAAATATATATAAATGATAAATATCATGTTGAAAATCTCTATTCCATAGAATTCTTCAAGTTTTGAAAAATAATTGAGACACATACTTATTTTCCCTTTCCGCGGAATTTACTACCACCACCAACAGTTTTAGCTTTTTTAGCGGGTTTTTTTTTCTCTTCAGCCTAGAAAAAGAGAGGGAGACAGACAAAAAAAAAAATTAGAGAGCAATCCATGAGTATACATTGTTATTTTCAATGACTAACTTGTAATTGAAATTCACTCACTTTACGTTTTGCTGATGGTGTGGTTGATAAAACTTTGAAGAATGAGTCAAGTCTACCTTGCGTAGATGTGTTTCTTGCCTTTGCTAATTTCTTAGCGCCATTACGAATTCTAGTCTCATCAAATTGTTTGTCACCACAAAGAAATTTAACTAGAGCCTCTTCATCAGGTTCATTCCATTTTAGCTTTATTGCCAAGAAAATAATATTGTAAATGCATCTTATAGTCAGCTTTATATATCTCTAATGATGAATTATTAAATATTAGAATAAGTTTACCTCGATTTCATCAGTATTAGTAACTTCCGGCTCTAAAAACAATTGCCTTGCCTGCCGATAATTCCACTCATCAGGAATTGGATATTTATGGCTGTCGATATTCTCAATAATTTTATCAATTGACTTATGGGTTTTAATAAGTTCGATGGCTCTCTTAGGGCCAATGCCCTTGATTGTACCGGTGTAATCACACCCAAGCATTATACAAAAGTCTATGAATTCTTCTCTGGTAAGTTCCATGCCTTCTAAAACCTTATCAAGATGAATCTCCTGCACAGGCATTTTTCTAGCTTCACTGAATGTTAAACGTCTCAACAAGATATCGCTCCCAAAAGTGAGTGCATCCATATCCTCAGTGGCAGCAGCAAAAATTTTTCCACTTTTTACAAGAGCAGCACATTGAGCCTCAGCTTCACACGGTGCCTCCACGTAAGGAATACCCATGAGTTTAAGTAACTGTTTAGCTTCCTCCACGTGGGTTGATGTTACTTTGACCAATCTGCGATTAAATTTATCAATGTCCTCAACATTTCCTGCCTCTTCAGCAGCTGCCAATGCCTTTTGGGCTTCATCTCGCTTCTCTGCACGTTTTGCTAGTTCTCCACCCTTCAAATTGGGTGGTTTTCCATCGAATACGTAAACGGGTTTCACTCCATTATCAACTAGGCGTATTGTTCTATAGAATATGCCCATCAGGTGACTGCAAATAATAACTACTCTTTTTAGTTGCTGATTTGGTTATAATATGATAATGATAAATATTTTCAATGCATCTGTTGTTATTTAAAACGTTGTACGTATTGAATACCTTGTTGTTTCTCCGTCTGCTGATGTTAATTGGGCTCCTTCATTTCTTACAGCGATCAGAAATTGGTAGAGACACATGGAAGCATCAATTGCAATTTTTCGACCTTGAATAAAAATAACAGTAAAACGAAATTAGATTTATAATCACTCTACGCTCTCCTTCTCTACGTAATATATCAACTGATACAATTAGACAGTTGTTTACCAAAGTAATGCTTTAATTCACGTTCTTTGATGGCACTGGGAGCCAAATCAGCAATTATCTTAGATAGTCCTAGAATACCCATAGCTTATTTGTTAAATTCTGTCTCTGTAATGAATCGAAATGACCCAATAATTTATGAATTAATCCAAAATTTAATCACAAACTTTATCATTCCACACACGCAACTCCACTAGTTCTTCCCGCCAAATGATAAATTCATCATTGGCCTTAACCTCAAACATATAGAGACACCAACTACAGCTGAAAATTGAGTAGCCTGAGTAGTGATCAGAACAAAGAGGATTGACTAAAGTAGAGGCTCAGTTCTGGGGGTTCGAGTGACCCCAGCGGCATCGTAGTATTGCACCCCAAGAAAGAGAGAGCGCCACACGCAATGGGGGTGTCTGCTCGTTAGCCGACTCAGAGACTCTTCAGTAGCAGTCCCGCTGCCACAGGGACCAGTCGAAAGGGAATTCCCACAGAACATTAGAGATCCTGACATAAACAGAACGTAATTCAATGTATCTGATACTCCCATTCCCGTTTCAGAGATCCAATCGAAGTGTTTTTGATGGTTAAGACCAAAATCCACACGCTAAATTCTCTTCAATCAATTATTTTTCACTGACTATTGTATTTTACATGATTGCACTGTTTTTTTTTAAAGAGAATTATTTATTAGGTTCAGAATTTTCGTAATTATCTTATCTCGTCAAATTGAGACTGCCCGCGGTGTTCTGTGCGCATGCACGGTGTGCGTGCGCATGCGCGGAGTATCGCCTGGCGCCCCCCCACTCGAGCGCCGTCTCCAATGCCCCGCCATTTTGAGTGGGGAGTCAGTCGTTCGGCGGCAGTGCGTGGAACGGTCGGTCGCGTGTCGCGTAGTGAAATTCCGTTAACATCGGGGTCCTAGTCAGTGCAGAAAACCGGTGCCACCTGTGAACATTGAAAATACAAAGTGCGGGACTCAGTGCAAGTGATTTTGGGATGTGAAATAATTTTTTAAACAGTTTATCAGAGCATTTTGAGTGATTTAGGTTTTTCGTTTATTACACTGAACTTCGGTATTGCCGAACGGCCGCCCGGCGTCATTGTGTTTACAAAAATTCCTTTGTCCGTTTCTCGGTATTGTTTAGTGTGTGTTTAAATACGGACTGAAGTGAGAGTGCGAATTAGATTCAAAGGATTACTTTTCTCATTCATCTTATTTTGAATGATTAAAAATATTATTTGATCTTTGATATTGTTTTATTGATCTTTGTGGATTTTTAGTTGATAAAACATTCTTGGTTGTGTGGTGAGTGATTAGTGAATTTTTGAACTGTCTCGAGTGCTGGTGCATCCAAGGCGACTTCAACCTCGTCGATGGGAGGATTGGCGTCAGGATCACATGAACATCACCAGGAGTTGGAGGGAATCTTTCAAGCCTCTACAAGGTGAGTTTCGTATGCATTTTTTTTATGACTTTGAAGCATCATTTTCATTTTATTTTCATGTCATTTTTGTCATTCCTG